GGAGACCCGGATGCTCCAGACATCCCGACCCCGCGCTCTTACGCTGAGGCGATCGCGGGTGAGTACTCCTCTCAGTGGCAGTCAGCCATGGACGCAGAGATGGCATCCTGGAAGTCCACTGGCACTTACGTTGACGAGGTTCCCCCTCCTGGGGCGAACATCGTCAGTGGCATGTGGATTTTCAGGGTGAAGCGGTCGTCGGGTTCTCCGCCTGTCTTCAAGGCTCGTTACGTTGCTTGAGGCTTCAATCAGCGAGAGGGAGTAGACTTCTTTCAGACCTTCTCCCCCACCCCGAAGATGACCACTCTTCGGGTGCTACTGCACGTTGCTGCTCAGCGTGACTACGAGCTTCACTCTCTTGACTTCAGCACAGCTTTCCTGCAGGGCAGCCTGCACGAGGAGATCTGGCTGCGCCGCCCTCCTGGCTTCACTGGGTCGTTTCCTCCTGGTACCCAGTGGAGCCTCCGGCGGCCGGTCTACGGTCTCCGCCAGGCGCCACGTGAGTGGCACGACACACTGAGGACTACTCTTGCGGCACTTGGGTTCGCTCCTTCTACTGCTGACCCGTCGCCGTTTCTGCGCACCGACACTTCGCTGCCGCCGTTCTACATCCTCGTGTACGTCGACGACTTGGTCTTTGCCACTGCTGACACTGAGGCTCTCGCCCACGTGAAGTCGGAGCTGCAGAAGAGACACACGTGCACAGACCTGGGTGAACTGCGCAGCTACCTTGGCTTGCAGATCACCCGGGACAGAGCACGCCGCACCATCACACTGACTCAGTCACACATGGTGCAGCAGGTCCTTCAGCGCTTCGGCTTCACCTGGTCCTCAGCACAGGCCACTCCTCTGGCTACAGGTCACTCGCTCTCAGCTCTGCCTTCGGATGAGTCCGTAGAGCCGAGTGGTCCTTACCCAGAGCTAGTTGGTTGCCTCATGTACCTGATGACTTGCACTCGTCCTGACCTAGCATACCCTCTTGGCCTTCTGGCCCGCTACGTGGCTCCTGGCAGGCACCGAAAGGTGCACTGGGATGCTGCAAAGAGGGTATTGCGCTACTTGTGCAGTACATCGGGCATGGGGCTCGTGCTTGGAGGAGGGAGCTCAGTTGTTCTCACTGGGCACTCAGACGCTTCTTGGGTTGACGACCAGGCTACTCAGCGGTCGTCACAGGGTTACACCTTCAGCCTTGGCTCTGGCTCAGTTTCGTGGCGTTCTACGCGTTCGTCTTCAGTTCTCAGCTCCAGTTGTGAGGCTGAGATCTACGCCACAGCCATGGCTGCACAGGAGTTACGCTGGCTCACCTACCTGCTGACCGACCTGGGAGAGCGGCCTAGTTCTCCTCCAGTGCTGTACGTAAACAACAAGGCTGCCATTGCCTTGTGTGAGGAGCACAGACTGGAGCACAGAACGAAGCACATCGCTCTCCGTTACTTCCTGGCTCGAGAGCTGCAGCAGCGCGGTCAGCTTCGTCTGCGTTACGTGGCCACTCAGGCCAACACCGCTGATATATTCACCAAGGCACTTCAGCCTGGTGATCATCAGCGCTTCTGCACTATGCTGGGGCTGGTGCCCACTTTTCCTCACTTGCTGTAGGCTTTGCCTGTACTGTGATCTCTATATATATACACTTGCCTGTTTGCTCTGCTATGTTGAGATCACCTTGCTGTTTGTGTTGCATATATGCCTCTGCATGTGAACTGGCCCTGTGGCCCTTTGTTTGTGCTCAGAGTGTATGGTGACGTTGTGATCCACCCTGAGCTTGCTTGCCTTTCTTGACTGGTCTTATGACCCCTTGCTCTCCCCCACTTTGCCTATGGGGGTGTGTCAAACACTATATATGTGTTATTGCTGTGTAGGCTATAGTGGGTTAACCTTTAGGGGGTACACAACTCTAGGGTTTCATACTTGTACTCCAATGTTTCATAGTTCAATCACTTCTTGTTTCTGACAGACGGGTGTGTGCGCCGTCCCCTGCTCCTCCTCCTCCTCCGTCTCCCACTTCTGCAGCTGCCGCTGAGGGGGGTGGATGTGTTGGAGCCGTCGGAGTTGGAGTGGTACCAGGGGGGTGGCGGGTGAGCAGTACTAGGGGAATAGCAAGGGGTGTGTGATAGGGGCGTGGGGCAGTTGGCGGAGGTTGAGCGGAGGTAGCAGTCGTGTCGCCAGCAGCACCAGTAGTCCGGAGGCTAAAATCTCCGGTAGTCGCCAGTCGCCTGTGGGTCAGTTGCTCCAGTCAGGAGGCTACAATCTCCGCGGAGCCAGTTACTCCTGTAGTCCGGGCCATTGCTTCGGTAGCCACTGAGCCAGCAGCTCCTGTGTGTCTGCAGCTTCCGCCGTCGCCTCCCATCTCCTCTCCTCTCACAGTCCCTCCTCCTCCTCACATGCCCTCTGTGACTACCTCTAGCTTTACTTGTGCTTATGAACTATTTTATGACTGCATGCTGTACTGATTATACCCCACTTTGCCTATGGGGGTGTGTCAGAATGTTGTAATTGTCTAGTCTGCAGTGGGGTACTCTATAGTGAGTATAACCTTGTTAGGGTTTGCTATATGTAGTGCCCTGCTTACTAGTGAAACCTCTCCTTCCTGATTCTATTTTCTCATTCCTCTTTCTTCACAAGCAGGGCGGCGCGCGGCTAGAGCAGGGCGGCGCGCGACCAGAGCAGGGCGGCGCGCGGCCACAGCAGGGCAGTAGTAGGCAGCAGCAGGCAGTAGCTCCTAGGGCAAAAGCACCTAGGGCCCCCTCTTTTTTTTAATCATTATTTTAATTTTATTTAGGGTTTAGCAGGGCGCTGGCGCAGGGCAGGGCGCGGGCGCAGGGCAGGGCGTGCGCGAGGCAGCGCGACGCGGGGCAAGGCAGGGCGTGCGCAGGGCAGCGCGACGCAAGGTAGTGGGGTAACGGGGTGACCGCAAAACAATCCAACGGACCTACTGCTCTAAAACCATGTGAAGGTAGCAACCAGGAAATGATTGCATTGAATGAAATATGGATACAAGTACTAACCCTAACTTTGGGTTGTACCCCATACGGGCTACCCCACTATAGCCTACACAGAACTAGCACATATATAGTTTGACAAAACCAACATGCGCCAAAGGGTGGGAGTACTTCAGCCGTTAATTCACATGGTAGACCCAAGAGCAGGCCTAAGCGAGCGATGCATTTCGAATCTTCTGCCTCTCCATTCTCAATCTCCCTCCTCGTATACTGATGTCACCTCATCTGCCCTGTTCCAAAGAGTTCCAAAGGCTTTCTCCATCTTCCAAAGGCCTGGCTTTGTTGGCAGTGTCTCTTGGCTGTTCAATTCCACTCGCACCAGTTGGATTGGGAGACTGGCGGGTTTATTGGACAATGCAATGAAATAACACATGCTCTTCTAGTTTAATTTGTCAAGTGTGGCAAGTGTGTCCCGTCAGGTCCACTTTGATCTCAATACATTCCAGATTGTATGGCGTCTTTGAAACTACCATGGAACTTGCCTGTCGGAAACAAGATCAAGACAAAGAATACCGAAGCTAGGAAAGTACTTCAGTCTTTGTAGCAACTGTAGCAAATCAACTAAGCTGATAGCTCTTGCATTTACACGTATTACCTCCATAAGTATTTGTACACATGTATTTGAGAGTCTCCACCTAGATCCCTGAGCTTACCATATATCAAAGTCAAGGGGATATGATGACTAGAGTAAATAATATAGTGAATGTAAGCAAGGTCCAGAACCTCTGTACTGTATTGACGTCTTAAGGAAGGCAGAATGGTACACCGTCTTGTACTCATTTCATTTTCTTTGGATCGAATACAAATCCCCCCCAAACCCCTCGCTCCCCTCACTCCCAGGATCACCGCATCATTCGTGTGAGGCGTGCATCAGCCCATAAATTTCCAGCCGCTAGTTCGCTTAGGTTTGTGGCCAACGGCTCAGGGTTTACGAAGCTCGCGATTGCACATTTATGACCTGCTCGAGCGAATGGTCATGAGTTTATAACGTGACGTGGTTTTGGAACTTTCGGCCGTGATGGGGAATCTAGAAACTCAAATGATTTGTCACATGGGTGAACGATGGAAATTGAATCCACGGGTTTGGGTTTCTGGAAGAAAAGGCAAATCTAGTTGCCATCATCCGTATCTACGTCCGATCGAAGGCAGGCAGCTTTCCCGCCAACGGCAGCTTCATGTCAGCGAGCGAATGCCCGCGTGGGAACAGATGCAAAAAAATCCAGGAACCCCTGACGTTTTCCGTTTTCTTCTCGATCTTGTCCAAATAAAACAAAATTTGGATATTGTTCACGGTGGTGGTGAGAAGTCGCATTTCTGCAAAAAAAACTTTTCAAACATGCTTGATAAACGAAAACAGATTGCTTCCATAAGCCATGCAACAGCACATTGGTGATTTATTTGTTGGAATACTGTACACTTCAATTGCTTCTGTGATCATTATTTCAACGAGGACCAAGACCCCAGATTTGCTTCCTCCCACCAGCTCAGCTTCCCAAATCCTCTCTTCACCGTCAGTCCTATCCGCTCTCCAGAGCAACTTTTGTGATGTGCTGCTGATGCTGTCCACTGTACGGTAACGCCAGTCGTCAGACCCTCACAACTTTCTCGTTCTGCTATTCCTGCCACACAAGTGTGTTTCTTACCAGACGCACACATCCTTTTGAAGCGTTGCGTGTCTCTAGGACTTTGAGGGAGCAGTTTCCGAAGCTACTGAGGTATTTTTTATTTTCTTTTTTTACCGACACCAGCGAGAGACGTGACCTGAAAAGCACTACACGCACATTTGAGTACGGCTGCATAATCTGGTTAACTACGAACCTAAAGGTGGCGTTGCGCTTAAACTTCTCGGCGTGAATCTTGTTAATCGATAATCGTACTCAGTCTTTCCCGTTAACTATTAAAAGGCTCGTTCTTCCTGGCACAAATCGCTCTTAAAGTGAACATTTACGATTTCCATCACAAACGATAATCTGATATTGGGATAAGCCGTCCGATCCAGCAATGGACCCTCTTTCCCGTGTCATCCGAGACGGTGACGTGCCAAACAGCCAGCCTCAAAACACCAACAGCAGTCCCAACCTCCCTCCTCGTTCTACACACCCACACTCACACCCCCCTCTCGCAACCTTCCCTTCTTCTTCGGGAGTATCTCTATCAGCTGTCCCCTCCTCTCTCTCCCCTCTCCCTCTTTCCTCCTCACTCTCCTCCCTCCCTCTTTCCACCTCTCTTCCCACCCTCCCTCTATCCTCTACCTATCCCTCCTTTCCCCCTCCCTCCACCTTCCCATCCTCCTCTCACCACCTCCTCCCCAACTGGTGGTGCGGCCACCACGCGGCCAATCAGAGCTCGCCATTTGGCAGGCGACCGCAATCCGTAAGCCCCCCAGGCCTCCCCCTTGTCCCCCCATCCGGATCCCTCGGGGAAAGAGGGGGAGCAGGCGGAATGGAAGGGGAGGGGATGGGAGGGAGAGAAGAGGGAACGGAAGGGGGAGAAGGTCGAGGAGGAAGGGGAGGAGGAGGAGGAGGAGGAGGAGGAGGAGGAGGAGGAGGAGGAGGAGGAGGAGGAGGAGGAGGAGGAGGAGGAGGAGGAGGAGGAGGAGGAGAGGGAGAAGGGGGTGAGGAAGAAGAGCAGGTTATAAGCATCAAGCCGATGAGATCTTGGACCCCTTCCGGCAAAAATGAGAAGCAGCAGCAGCAGCAGCAGCAGCAGCAGCAGCAGCAGCAGCAGCAGCAGCAGCAGCAGCAGCAGCAGCAGCAGCAGCAGCACCACCACCAGCAGCAGCAGCAGCAGCAGCAGCAGCACCACCACCAGCAGCAGCAGCAGCGGCAGCAGCAGCAGCAGCAGCACCACCAGCAGCAGCAGCAGCAGCAGCAGCAGCAGCAGCAGCAGCAGCAGCAGCAGCAGCAGCAGCAGCAGCAGCAGCAGCAGCAGCAGCAGCAGCAGCAGCAGCAGCAGCAGCAGCAGCAGCAGCAGCAGCAGCAGCACCACCACCACCACCACCAGCAGCAGCAGCGGCAGCAGCAGCAGCAGCAGCACCACCAGCAGCAGCAGCGGCAGCAGCAGCATCTGGACCCTATGGGTTCTGCCTTTGTGCGTGCTCTTTCAGTCAACCGCTCTTTTCCATCCCTCGGCGGCGGCGCAGGCGCTTCAGGTGCAACACCAGCAGCAGCAGCAGCAGCAGCACCAGCTGCAGCAGAGTCACCAGCACCAGCAGCAACAACTAAGTCAGCAGCAGCAGCAACAGCAGCAGCAGTAGCAACAGGAGCAGGAGTAATAAAATCAGACGACGCAACGGGAGCAGCAGCAGCATTGGAGGCTGTAACGGGAACAGCAACAGATATGGGGCTAATGGGGAAGATTCCCGAAGATTCTGCGGGAGACAGGGAGAAAGGCAGGGAAGTTCAAAGAGTGGAAACCCGCTGGGGTTTGGGTGCAAGGCTGGGAGGCTCGCCGCTTGCTTTGGGGCGTTCTCGAGTTCCCCGAACCGGAGCAGCAGGCTCGGGAAGGGAGCCGGAGTCTTCAGCCGGAGTTGCTGGGGCGGGTTCATCTGGGGGAGGCGGTACTGAGAGGGATCTGTTCAAGGAGACTCAGGTGTTTCCGCTGGCAGTGTTTAAAGAGCCTGAGTTTTCACCTGGGCCGGGTTCACCCAGGGGAGGCGCTACTGAGCGGGTGTTATTCAGGGAAACTCAGGTGTTTCCGCTGGCGAAAACCCACAGCCCTCTCTCGGGCTTTCTTGCACCTATGGCCGGTGGGAACGAGAGCGGTGCTGCTGCTGGTGCTGGTGGCGGTGGTGCTGATTCTGGTGGCGGTGGCAGTGGTGGTGGTGCTGCTGCTGTTGTTGTTGCTGCAGCGGGTGCTGCTCCTGCTGCTGCTGCTGCTGGTGGTGGTGCTGCTGGCGGCGGTGTTTCTATGGGCGATGGCAGCAGCAGCGGCAAAGTTGACGCCGTTGGTGCCGGGGGAAGGGCAGGAGCGGGAGCAGGATCGACGGATTTGGGAGTGGGTTTAACAGGAGGAGGGTTAGTTGGAAGGAGTACGTTAATAGGAGGTTTGCTGGGGGGAGGTAGATCTCGGGGAGGGTTACTTGGGGGAGGTACATCCGGAGGAGGGTTACTGGGGGAAGGTAGATCAGAGGGTGGGTCACTGGGGGGAGGTACAACCAGAGGAGGGTTACTTGGGGGAGGTACATCCGGAGGAGGGCTTTCGGGGGGAGGCTTATTCGCAGGACAGGCTCAGTTCCCGGACCTCAGCACGCAGCTGGGCCTCAGGTTCGGGCTCTCTGCTTCGGCCGGACCTGACTCCGGCGACAGGAGAGACGGAAATAGGCATGGGACTAGAGACGGGACAACGGAAGGAAATACAGATAGAGATGGAGACAGGGAGGGAGATAGGAGTCGAGATGGAGCCAGGCTTGCAGAGAGCAGGCCGCCAGAGAGCATTGAGTATGAGAGCCGGGAGCTAGCCCGAGCGGTGCAGCAGAACAGAATACTAGAAGAGGAGATCGTACGGCTGCAGGTGCAATCGTGGGAGCTTAAGGAGCAGAACCAGGAGCTGCACTCGCGGGTGGTTCGGCTGGAAAATACTATGAAGTATCGGGAGCAGAGAGGGGTTGGGAGCGGTGCGGGTGGGTGGGTGCAGCCGCAGCTTCAGCGGATGGAGAATCAGGTGGTGGTGCTGACGGGACGGGTGCTGCAGCTGCAGCAGCAGAACCGCACGGCTAAGGGAGAGATTGAGAGGCTGAGGAAGGAGTTGGATGCGGTGAGGGGGAAAGGGGTGGCGGAGGGGGGAGGGGGAGGGGGAGGGGAAGGAGAAGGGGGCAGGGGAAGCGGAGGGAGGGTTGGAGGGGGCCGGGTGGGGAAGGGTGAGAGGGGAAGGGAGGGGATGAAAGTGGAGTGGGAGAGAGTTGAGATGGATGTGAGTGGAACAGGAGGAGGAGGAGGAGGGAGAGCTATGGGTGGAGAGGGAAGAACGTGTGAACGGGGGATTGGGGGGATGAGTAGCAGAGGGAAGGAGCAGAAGGGCACTGATTTGCAGGGAAGTAAAGCTGATGTTGGTGCTGCTGGTGGTGATGCTGCCGCTACCGCTGCTGCCGCCACTGCTGCTGCTACTGGTCCTGTTGACGTGGATGTTGTTGGTGCTGGTGGTGGTGATGCTGTTAAAACTGCTGTTGCCACCACTGCTGCTGCCGCCACTGCTGTTGCTACTGGTCCTGTTGACGTGGATGTTGGTGGTGCTGTTGATGCTGCTGCTGTCGCTGGTGCAGCTTCTGTGGATGCTGGGGGTGGCAATGCTCCTGATGCTGCTGATCCTGGCAATGCTGCCGCTAGAGGTGTTGATAGGGATCCTCCTGCTACTGCTCCTGCTACTGCTACTGCTACTGTGACTGCTTCTGCTGCTGCTACTGCTACTGTGACTGCTTCTGCTACTGCTTCTGCTTCTGCTGGTCCCGCCGCTGCTGCAGCTCCAATCACCACCGCTTTAGCCGCCATGAACGTTCGTACAGAGGTGAGCAGGGTAGAGGAGGCAAGCTCGGGGGAGGGGAAGAGGGGAGGGATGCTAGGGAAGCGAGATAGGGAGTGTCACGACGAGGGGGAGGGGGAAGAAGAGGAGGAGGGGGGGGGTGGGCCAACCTGAATATCTTTGTCACTATGGTGTCGACTCAAAAGTCACCCCGAATGGGGTGTGGCAGAGGCAGGAAAGGGAGTCTCAGGAGGAAAGGGAGGGGGGAGAAGAAGAGGAGGAGGGTGCGCCCAACTGGAACTACTTTGCCACTGGAGGGTGTTGACTCGTATTTCACCTCTAGCAGGGTTTGTCAGAGGCAAGAAAGGGAGTGTCAGGAGGAGGGGGGAGAGGAGGGGGAGGTGGGGGGGAGCGAGGAAGAGGGGGGAGAATTAAGAGAAGGTGGGGGTCCAGCTTGATTACCTTGGTGATTGCTGATTCGACTCGTAGGTTACCTTCAGAGCGGCGCTAAGGAAGCGAGGACAGGAATCTTGGGAGGAGGGGTGGTGGGGGAGGAGGAGGAGGGTGGTGGTTGGTCCAACCTGAATATCTTTGTCACTATGGTGTCGACTTAAAAGTCACCCCGAACGGGGTGTAGCAGAGGCAGGAAAGGGAGTCTCGGGAGGAGGGGGAGGGGTGGGGAGGGAGGGAGGGGAGAAGAGAAGGAAGGTCCGACTTGAAGGAAGGTGCGGGAGGAGGAGGAGAGCGGCTGTCCAGCTCTGACTAACTTGGCGACTGTGGTGTCGACTCAATTGGAAAGTCACTTCAAACGGGCACCTACGGAGGCAAAAAAGTAGTCTCAGGAGGAGGGATGGGGGAGGAGGAGGAAGAGGAGGTAGGTGGGCCGATTTGAACAGCTTCTGCAGCAAAGCATGCAGCAGAGAGGACGGTGCAGCCGATAGGAGGGTGCAGCAGACAGGAGGGTGCAGCAGGGAGTAGAGTAGAGAGGCTAGAGCATGCAACTATCAGGTAAGTGTAATAAAGAAGTGTGTCACTTGGCTGGTGGGATCAAATGTTGCAGAAGAAAGTGCATCTCAAACGGCTGCAGCAGAGGCTAGAACAGAGAGGTTAGAGCATGCAGCTGTCAGGTTAGTGCACTAGGGATCAGAGTGTCTTGCTTGGCTGGTAGGATCGGGCAGACGGGAGTGCAGTTGGAGTGGGTGCAGCAGAGGCTGGCGCAGAAGCTTGGACGTGTGGTGTGATACATCCTAAAAAAATAAATATTGCTCTTTGCACTTCTTTTTTGCTCTTTTTGTATTCATATAATATAGTTATTTGCTGCAAGGCCTGCTCATTCAGTGCTTCGGTGTGCATTCAGAAGACCTTTCTATATTACTGATCATTGCTGAGTTTTTGGGCTTGTTACAGGTCTAGCTCTCTCAGGACAGGGAGAGCTCTAGTAAGGCTACTTAGGTCGTGTTCCTACGGGCGAGCCTCGTATCAGTAAAGAAATTTCTCAAACTTCACGTTATAAAACACCTCGTATCAGGATTGTACCGAATCAGCGCACCAATCATATCGCTCGCACAACATCGCTCGAACGTGGAGAATCCCCCGGGCACGGTTCCCTTTGATGAGCAGCCGTTTGCCCTGTGTTTGCGGCCGACAATCATCCCTGCTCGGTTTCGTAACGTGGCATTGGAGCGCTGCGCACGAACGTGCAGACTTTTCACAAACAAGGAACATCAGCATTGACTTTCCGAGGCGCGATGTTCAGCTGCGGCAAAGCACGCACAATGCTGGTTCGTAACAAGATCTCAAAGTTAGCGAACAACGGAATGATTGGAATAGAAACGAATGGGGTACAAATGAGCAACCATAGAAGCTGTACCCCCTAGAGTGCAACTCACTATAGCCTATCATATCAATGTTCAACATTTGACACACCCCCATAGGCTAAGTGAGGGGCATCAAAGCAAGCAAGGTGAACAAACGGTCACAAGACCAGTCAAAGCAAGAACCAAGGCAAGCTCAGGGTGGATCTCAAGGACACCACACAAATTCCGAGCGCAAGCAAGCGGCCACAAGGCCAGTTCAAGAGTTCACTAGGATATAAATACAAAGCACAAAAAACAGAGCAAGCAACAGGACTACAGCAACCGAGGGCCTACCTCAACAAGCCCCAACTGCACACAGAACCTGTGGTGGTCACCAAGCGCCAAGGCCTTGGTGAAGACGTCTGCAGTGTTGGCCTCTGAGGCCACAAAGTCCAGGCGTGCCTGGCCGCGTCGCTGCAGCTCTCGCAGGAGGAAGTACCTCACGTCAATATGCTTCACTCTGCTCTCCAGTCGAGGCTCTCGACACAGGAGGATCATGGCCTTGTTGTCAGCGTACAAGGTCGGTGCAGAGCGAGGCCGCTCACCAAGGTCAGCGAGCAAGAAGGTCAACCAGCGAAGCTCCTGTGCCGCCATGGCACCAGCGTAGATCTCTGCCTCTGCACTGGAAGTAGCCACAGACGACGACCGTGTAGACCTCCACGACACAGCACCAGCTCCCAGACTGAAGCAGTAACCCTGAGTCGAACGCTGAGTCTCCACGTCGTCAGCGTAGGAAGAGTCGCAGTGACCAGTCAACGCCACTGGCTGAGTCCCTCCAAGCACAAGCCCCAAGCCTGATGTAGTCGCCAGGTACTTCGCCACCCTCACAGCAGCTGTCCAGTGGACAGGGCGATGTCTCCCAGTCGCAACAAAGCGAGAAAGGATGCTGAGTGGAAAGGCGAGGTCCGGTCGAGTACACGTCATCAGGTACATGAGGCAGCCCACCAGCTCTGCGTAGGGTCCACTGGACTCAAAGGGCTCGTCAGGAAAGGGGCCCGTGAGTCTGTGGTCAACAGCAAGAGGAGTGGGCTGTGTGGTGGAGAACTGGAAGTCGAACCGCCGAAGGACCTGCTGCACCATGTGTGACTGCGTCAGTGTGATGGTGCGAGCGGCTCTGTCCCGGGTGATCTGCAGGCCAAGGTAGCGCTGCAGCTCACCCAGGTCAGTGCACTTGTGTCTCTTCTGCAGTTCGGACTTCACCTGAGCCAGGGCTGCCCTGTCTGCTGTAGCAAACACCAAGTCGTCGACGTAGACAAGGATAAAGAAAGGAGTAGAACCCGCTCGAACAAACAGCGACGGGTCGGCGGAGGACGGGCTGAACCCAAGGTCACGAAGCGTGGAGCGAAGAGTGTCGTGCCACTCACGGGGCGACTGGCGGAGACCGTAGACTGGTCGCCTCAGGCTCCACTGGGTCCCAGGTGGGAAGGTGTCAGTGAAGCCAGGAGGACGGCGCAGCCAGATCTCCTCGTGCAGTCGGCCCTGGAGGAACGCAGTGGAGAAGTCGAGGGAGTGCAGCTCGTAGTCTCGCTGCGCTGCTATGTGGAGTAACACCCGAAGAGTAGTCATCTTCGGGGTCGGGGCGAAGGTCTGGAAGAAGTCAACTCCCTCACGCTGACTGAAACCCCTAGCCACGTAGCGCGCCTTGAACACCGGCGGTGCTCCAGGCGGCCGCTTCACCTTGAAGAGCCACATGCCATCGACTACGTTCGCCCTGGGAGGGGGAACTGCGTCGACGTAGGTGCCTGTGGATCTCCAAGACGCCAACTCTGAGTCCATAGCCGCTTTCCACTAAGAGGCCCACGCCCCTGACACTGACTCGCGGTAAGTGCGAGGAGTCGGTATGTCAAGGGCGTCGGGGTCTCCCTCAGGGGAGAGCAGCATGGCACACACAGAGGGAGAAGCGGCTGCCCAGTACTCCAGCTCAGACTCTCTGTCCTCTAGGACGTCACAACCAAGGGCAAACCCACCCCCGACGGACAGAGGACGGTAGGGAGGAGCTGGCACCACACGGGTGGCGTAGTCAAGGCGGCTGGCGGCAGCAAACTCAGCGACAGCGGCAGTGAGAGCCGAGACAGACGACGGAGGGAAACGAGGGTCGGTGACAAGAGTGGTGAGGACACGTGCGGCAACAGGACGAACAGCGCGGTAGTAGTCAGAGATAGGAGTGGGGAGGGCAGGTAGAGAGGACGGAGGAGGAGACGGGAGAACGGACACAGGAGAAGGAGAACGACGACGAGACGAACAAAGGAGGGCAGTGTGGAGGTCAGTGACAGGGGACGAGTGACGAGCACGCGGAGGACAACGAGTGATCAAGTCGCGACGGACAGAGGGAGGAGGAGACTGAGGAGGAGGAGAAGACCAGACCGCCGGACGGTCGTCAGGAGGAGGCAACGGAGGAACAAACACAGGAGGAGACTGGGAGCGGACAGGAGGAGAGGAGGAAAGGCCAAGGGCCCGCAGGCCACTCACAGGTGGGAACAACCGCCGCTCTAGAGGAACCTGCGGTGGCGGCTGCGGCCGCTGCTGCTGCGGCTGCGGCTGCGGCTGCTGCTGCTGCTGGTGGTGGTGCTGCTGCTGCTGCTGCTGCTGCCGCTGCTGCTGCTGCTGCTGCCGCTGCTGCTGCTGCTGCTGCTGCTGCTGCCGCTGCTGCTCCAGAAGGTCCAGCACCCGCAGCTCCTGCCGCTCCCTCTCCAACCGCTCCTGCTCCTCACGCTCACGCCGACGGGCAGCCTGGAGACGCGTGTCGTGGCGGTGGGGGAGCGGGGTGGACTCCGCAGAACCAGGGTCTCCAGCGTCAGTCTCCTCAGACTCAGCACCCCCAGAACCAGTACCGCCAGTGCCAGGACCTCCAACTCCAGCACCCCCAGAACTAGCACCGCTAGTGCCAGCACCCCCAACTCCAGCACCCCCAGAACAAGCACCTCCAGTGCCGGCACCTCCAGCTCCAGCACCCCCAGAGCTAGCGCCACCTGCGCCAGCACCTCCAGCTCCAGCACCCCCAGAGCTAGCGTCACCTGCGCCAGCACCTCCAGCTCCAGTACCCCGCGACCGAGCACCCCCAGAACGAGCACCGCCAGCGGCTGCACCTCCAGCTCCAACACCAACCGAGTCTACAGTAACCTGTCGCGGAAGTGCCGAAGGCTGCTGAGGGGACTGTGAGGAGGACTGCGGGGAGGGAGACGCTACCTGGCGCGCGACCGAGGGGAGAGGGGTAGCGTGGGACACACCAGACGGGGCAGGACCAGAGGGGGGGGGCGGGGGTACCGGAGGAGCGGGAGCAGGAGGAGGAGAGGGTGCGAGGAAGAGAGGGGGAGGGGGTACCGGGAGACCTCGACAGGGGTACCGGGTGTAGTAGGACACAGACTCGTCAAACCGGACGTCACGGGAATCTAGGAACTGGTGGAGGGGAGGGTGGTAAAAGGACCAGTCAGCAGAGTCCACTGGGAAACCAAGGAAGACACAGGGGACG